TAAATTGCATTATATTGAAATGAGTCAGTCAGGTTGAGTTGAGTTGAGCCAGGTAAGCTATTCAGTTTCTCCTAGATCTCCTGCTAGCCTTTGTTGCTTAGTTCCAGCTCGCATACTCGTACATTCAATGTACTGATGCCAGTTGGCATGCATCTTATGACAATGCAGATACTGGTACCCCGGATCAGCATCCAGTATGTCGTTGATCCAGCTGAGCACTCCAGAGTCAGTGGTGAGCCTCATTGCTTTCTGGAGGACTCAAATATTTTGTTTCTTTTAGTTTTGCGTTATTAGGATGTTGCGGGGTCTGTCCCAACATCCATCTCAGTATGTTAGAGGCTTCATAGACAGTCAACCAGTCAGTTAGTATTGAGTCTCTCATCTATGTATATATGTAAATATTCTATTTTGAGACTCGAGTTGCCTTTTTGGCCAGATTTTATCAGTTGGTTGTTTTATAACCTTTCGTTGCATTGAGTTGTGTTGTTGAGATAAGTTTCCGCTGAGTTAAGAAAGCCAAGCCAAGGGTTCGCTTGGGGCCAGCAATGGTCTCCGAGTGCCGGTCCCGCCCAGGGTGTAGGCTCGGGGCGTGACATTTTGCTACTGTGAAGAGTTGTACTAAATACTTAAATGTGATATGTGTATCTCACAATTATGTATGGATGTTGCGGACGAGGAAATATGAGTGTTCGGATATATTTTGTATCTATAAGTACATTGGCAAACATAGTTGTCGCGTTGAACATGCCAACAGTAGCCATAGAAAAATTTCAATCAAAGTCATTGCTTTACTTGGTGTAAATATGTAACGTGATGGCAATGATCCAAATGTTAAAGAGATTCAAAGATCTATGTTTAATTTTTTTCATTGTAGTCCAAGCTATTGGAAATGTTGGAAGGGTGGTGTGGTTGCCAAGGAAATGGTTAGAGGAACAGCAGAGAACGGATATTCATGCTTACCAGCTTTTTCCTACATGTTCGAGACACTTAATGTTGGTTCTAGCTATTGTCTCATGGTATACGAGAATAGTCATAGGTTCATGTATTATTTCTTGGCCTTTGGTGCTTGCATTAAGGGATTTGCCCACATGAGAAAGGTAATTGCGGTTGATGGCACTCATTTACATGGTAAATACGAGGGCGTGTTATTGAGCATTGTTGTACAAGATACGGAGAATCATGTTTATCCAATTGTCTTTTCTGTCATGGACAAAGAGAATGATGCATCTTGGACATTCTTCTTTGAGAAATTGAAGGAGATTGTGGTCGATGAACCAGATTTGTGTTTTATCTATGATATACACAAGAGTACCGCCAATGGTATTGTGAACGTTTACAATCATACTCACTACGAATATTGTATGAGGTACCTCGATGAAAAATATCCGTGTAAATCATCATTGTGGAGATTACCTCTATCTTTACTACAATGCGGCATAGGCTTATTCTTTGGAGGAGTTTGACAATCATTTTGTAGAATTCAAGAACAAATTCCCCGCTGCAGCCGTCTTCCTTGAGCATGATATTGGTTTGGAGAAGTGGAGTAGGGCACATAGCATATATCCCGTGGTATTTATATTTAAACATCCTTACAAAATAATTATGCTTTCTCAAACATTGTTTTAAGGATGTTGATTGTATAACCACAAGTCTTCCTCATACATCTCTAATTCACCACACCCAATTTATGTAGACTCTTGCATGATCATATGACTTGTTTAAACTTATTTAATTGGATAAATTTCAAAAACATAATTTATTATTAATTAATTATTGTCTTTTAAATTCTACTAGTTTTGATCTATATATAAGTGTCATATTCTAGTAGGTGCAGTATCGACAATGCTTTAACATAGATCTAAACTCGAATATTCCTTACTAATGTCAGAGTGTAAATCTCATTGGTCATACACACACCACACACATAGAAATGCATCGATTGTTTAAGGGGTCTATATATTTTGACAATCAGTACATATTTTGATATACAAATTTCACAGTAACGATAATAAAAGTTCAAATACTACTTTTCAATGGTAACATTTGATTATTTTTTTTGTATAAAAGGAAGGTAATCCCTCATAAACAGCTCAAACCTTTATAAACAACTCAAAAACCTCCATTTTTATAATGTCTCAAGCATCTCAAACATCCAATGCAAAAAAGTCTTACAATTGTCATTGTGGTAATCCAGCTACGTTGAGGATGTCACACACCGACACAAATCTAGGTCGAAAATTCTTTAATTGTGCAGTTGGCATATGCTCTTTTTTTAGGTGGCTTGAAAATGAATCGTCAACGAGTAGCCCATTGAATATTCAAGGCGTTGCCAAATTTAAAATATTAAAAAAGCTACGATAATCCAAAGAAAATAGGGATCTGCTAATGACTTTCTTAAAAGAAGTCGAAGAGCAGAGGAATCACTTGAAAGTATTGCGAAAAGATGCTGAAATAGATAGAGATCAACTAAAAGAAAGGTTGATTTTGGTAGAAGAAAAAGAAAAACGCCTAAAAGCAATATTGTGTGGTTTATATTTGATGTTTTCTTTTTGGAAATATGTAACAAATGTGTAACAAGAATGTAGTGCTGAATAAATAAAGTATTTCTCTCTATTTATTGCACTCTTATATCTTTTATTTTAGATCAATAGTGATAACAATCTATAGTAGTAGACATACAAGTTTATTGTCGATAATTGACTACTAAATAGATCAACAGTGATAGCAAAAATCACATACTATTAAGACATATATTAATAAGAAATCTAAAAACCCTTCATAATAAAATATGTTAAACTGTCAGATGTACATTTTTGTCGTCAAAAACAGCAAAACAACAAACCACTTTAACTATGTTCTTAAAAATCAACTATTTCAAAAACTAATTGTCTTAGAAAACCATCTCAAAAAATCAATTGTCTTCAAACCAGGGAAAACCCAACTATCACAAAAATCAATTGTCATCAAAAATCAACTATTTCAAAAATTATCTTAAAACACCACAAAAACAACAAATGCCCTTACTCCTCACCACCAACCTCACCATTAAGCTCCATCACAATACTCATCACGTCTATTTCTTTTTCCACTTCTGCCACATCAGTGGCAAAGTCTTCTGCTTCCAACTTTTCCTCTTCTTCATTCTCTGTTGTCTTCTCCTCTTGTTGTTCTTTCTCTTCTTCTCGACTTGCTTCATTTTCTTCATTTTTTTTCTCTTCTAGATTCTCCTCTTCACTTTCTTCTTATTTCTTTTCTTCTAGTTTCTCCACTTCTTTTTCTTCATTGTTCTCTTCCATCTTCTCTTCTTGTTTTTCTGTTATCTTCTCCTCATCTTGTTGTTTCTCTTCTTCTTTCATCTCTTCATCAACTTCTTCAGCAAAGTATGCATCAACTGCAACAAGATCATCATCGACTACAGCTAATGGAAGGATCTCGTCATCAACTATTGGTGCTGAAAAGTTGTCATCATCTATTGCAAGATCAGTGGCTAAGCATTAATACAAATAAATTATTTTACAAAAAATAATATATAAATTTATCTACCTTTCTTTTTCTTTTTTCTCTTCATTTCTTCTCAATTTCTCCTCTCGTACAAAAGCAACCATTTCCACCATTGATTGCTTGAGGGATGCAACACGCTCACACAGACTTTCATCTTTAGAAGTACTTGGTACAAAATTCTCACAAGGTTAATTAGGATTGTGATCACTTGAATACCCATCCTCCACATTTTCTACTGATGAAGTAAGGACAGTCACACCTTTCAAATTGGCCTATAAGGCATCAATGATTGTGTCCTTCACTTCGTCCTTATATGGCTTTAATGTTGCCATATAATTTTATTTTGTCTCACGGATAGTATGTATGAGGTATGGATGCAGAACCTACAAAAAAAAATATAAATAGTACAAGACCTTCACTAATTTATAAATATTGCTAGATAATAAATAAATTTATACCTTTGTACTTCTCCCTTTATACTTGAATGGATCACCTTCGACAACATTATCACTCTTTGTCGTGTGCCATCTAAGTAAACGGGGAATGTGCAGAGGAGAATCCAAGGACTTCTTTGCATACTTACTAAGATGAGGAAAAACCTCATATATCCACACCTGAAATTAATAAAATTACAAACAAATAAACAGAGACTATGAAATACTATATAATTATATAAGAGTTTATTAGAAATCAAGTACATAATTGATAATAAGTACCAGAAATGCCCAGGGGAAGCCATACAGAGCATACGATGCATTCCCTCTTTCTTTGTACACTTCACTCTGCTTCTTCAAATAAATTTTGTTCTTCAAATACTTCACTGTTAAATCAAAACACTATTTCCCCTAGGGATAACTCTTGAAAAAGACTAAATCATCGACCATCTTAATGTGGTTTGAATCCACAATCTTAGATCGATCGTGGGCAAGCAACATCGAGTGGACGAATCAAACTAAAGAGCACTTCAACTTATTCCCCTTATTCAATCTGCTACCTTTAATCAAACTCATCAACTTTGTACCACTGATATTCTTATTCTTGGTCACTTTATAAAGAAATTTCTCACCTTTCTGAAGCACTTTTGTCATTTCTGAATCACAGGGGTATGCTGAGCAATTCAGCCCAGTAATCACTGCAAACTCTTTTAAGCCAAAACAATCAGGCTTATCATTCACACAAAATCATATCTCATGCAATTTTTTATTATTTTTGACACGTCGCAACAACATATAATGTACTATCTGTCCATTGAACTTGTAATATTCTGGAATATGCCTTAAATGTCCAAAATAAGTACCTTTAAAGTCATTATAATTTTTTAATTGAACTAAAACATTTCTAAAATCACGATAAAGAGTCATTCATGCTATTACAGAAATTTTCGCTGGAAAAGATCCCAACTCATCCATCCATGTAGTTAGATTATAGGACTTACCAGACATTTCTCTTGCACAAAATGGCAAGGACAGGGGATCATCATCCTCATCTCTAGTATCTCGACTATCTCTACTACTCTCCTCATCTCCATTGTCAGTTTTTTTTACACTAGAGTCAACACCATCAGTAGCCTGGGCACTACTATCGTCATAGTTGTCAATCTCATCCATCGTATCAGAATCCGAGTTAGACTTAGGTTCTTCAACTACAATTTTTTCTTTTTTGAAGATCTTGAAACTTCTTCAGCCTTGCTTTTCTTGTTTTTAGAAGGCTTATGAACAAATCGTTTAACAATGCCTCCTCTAGTTTTAGTCATACTGTATTATATACAAAAATATAATTTTCATATCAAAATATCGACCACTAGTCTATTAATATAACTAGAGTAATGCTAAAAAAAATATGCAAAACAAGTACCAATTTCAACAAAACTCGACAATACCATTGACATAAACACCATTAAAGTCGACCAAAACACAATAAGAACTTTCAAATCGATAGGCCAGATATACATAAAAAATCTAAAATTTCTATGCATTATCCAAAGCAAAACGTCAGTAATGATTCCGAATAAACACCATCAACTAAAATGGGTCAGATTTTCATAACTTTAAGCAAAAATCTAAACTTCGCTATACTATCGCAATAAAAAAATTAATTAGGCTAAAAGTTATTATAAACACGATTAAACTTACTTGAGAGGAAGAAGATTCCAAAACGATCCAACTGAACTTGGGAAGAAGATCGAAAGAGATTCAAACTGACTTGGGGAACAAGATTGATGAAAATATAAATAAACTTCGCTTCGCTTTTCAAGAACGATTATAGGATCTCACTTCTTTATGTTTTCAATAATGGAAGATGGAAGTTTTGTTGGAGAATGATCAGTTTTTTTTATGGAGGTTGATGATTTCGTAAAGTTTATGGAAGAAGACGAAGAGTTCTCCAAGAGTATGCTGAAACGTTCTGAGGTTTCCTCGAAAAATGTTTATATATAATATTATTAAATATTTTTTTATACTTCTTGAGATTGTAATTTAAATAATATTTTATCACAGTATAATTTTTTTTTAAATGTATTGGGACTATAATAGATTTTTGTAAAGTTATATCTTTTTCCCAAGTTTTAAAATCAATAAACAAGCCCATTACCCCACATTCACAAATATACCCCAAGTTTTAAAAAGGCCAAAGAGACAGATGACCCTATACTTTTTCCTTTTAAAAAAGTCCAACCCTAAAAAATAAACCAAAAATATATTAAGTGGGTATATAGTAAAATTAAGTTATAAAGGTGTCCCCAATGTCAATTCTTCTCGAGTAACTGCTGCTGAATATCACCTCCCTATTTTAGAGGGATGGAGACAGGGGATTTTAATTTTAAGGAGAGAGAGAAAAGGAAGTGTCACGACCCGATTTCTCGAGTCATGATGGCACCTACTATACTCTAAGAATAGGTAAGCCAACCTGTAACCCAGAACTTCAAACAATAAGCGAAAGGGCAGAAACTAACAATAACAATAATCTAAACAAGAAAAACAAGGCGGAAGCAACCCAAAATAAATATATACAGAAATCCCTCCCAGAACCTGGAAGTCACTAGTACAAAGCTATCTAATAAAGAGTACAAGTCTCAAAAGTGGACCACAACAGAGCGTGTCTCAAAGGCAACAAAACTAGGTAAAATTTAAGAAGGAGACAGAACAAACCCAAAACGACAAGTGCTCGCCCTCGTATCCGAACCACAACTGCAAAAGAAGGCTGGAACTAATCACCGCTGATAACTGGTACTGAAACCTACATCACAAAATAGATGCAGAGCGTAGTATGAGTACCAACACAACAGGTACTCAGTAGGCATCATAGGCCGACTGAACAAAAAGGGTAAAAACAATAAGAAAGGATAGAATCTAAACACAGAGAGGTCAAAACGGATATGAAAAGAAAGCACACGAGCATACCAGAAACAAACTAAGTACAACTAAACTAAACCTAACGGGGACTGCGCAAGTTAAAATAAAACCTGAACGGACCCCCATAAGCCCGATAGGTACACAGAAAAACTAAGTCTACTGAGAAAGAAGAAAATCGGGCTCACAGCCCAAAGTAACTAAGATAATCTATCAGAGGCCACCCAGCGAATAGTGCACTCCCAGCCCAGCTAGAAAGAGTGACCTTAGGGTGCACCCAACCAAACAGTCCACTCTCAGCCCAGCTAGAAAGAGGGACCCGTGAGTGAGGTAGATAACGCGAGTCGACCTACCATGCAGTCAGCTCTCAGCCCAGCTAGAAAGAGCGACCCGGGGACACCCAGCCAGCAGCACACTCCCAGCCCAACTAGAAAGAGAGGCCCGAGGGCGATCGCCGATATCACCGAATCTACCCAGCCAACGATACGTTCCCAACCCAGCTAGAAAGAACGACCCTGGGGGTGATGGTATCTCCAATAGGATCCAATCCAACAACAACCACTGTGGAATACCGTCCACTCTAAGAAATCACAGAGAAGGCTCCAAGCCTATACCATCTCAATCCCACGCCTCTAGTGATGCGCCAAACCTTCGAGAATGCGTCGGAACCGCAGAATGAGAGGGAGAAGATACAGACATGAAACAAGCAGCGATAACACCTAATCTAAGGCTCAAACTATCAGACTCAAGTCTGCTACTCCAGTCTACAAGGAGCGAAGTCATCCGAACGACGTCGGCAGAAAGTCAAGGCTATCCAGCCCACACGGGTCATAAGTCTAAGGCAATGCTAGCCTAACCTAGACTAAGGACATCATGCTTACGGTTAAGGATAACAAGGCATACAATATATAGCATACAAGCATACAATAGGCCTTTAACACATAAGCATGCAACTCTACTAAACCGGTTAACATGATATTATACCCGAAATATGGACAAACGATCCTAACATGAGCTATCTAATCAAAGTAAAGTAGGAAACTGGTACCCACCCACGATTCATTCCAATCGACATGCGTTTACACAATTAAGCTCAATCTAAATGAAAGGAAGTCGTAGCCTACCTTAAGGTTGACCGTGCGCGCTCCAAATCACTTTACCGGAGCTTTTCCTTCCCGAACGACCTTTAAACGCTGTCACTTTATCAAATATAGGATCACAACGTTAGTACGGTCGTTTACACATTAAAATCACAACAAACGAAGATGGGTCAATTTTGGACTCAAAATGGGAATCGTGGGACCCGCACGAACTGTCTGAATTTGACTTCGTCAAGAGACCCTAAACAGCACCCCAAACTTGTGTTCCAAAATGGAACACAATTCGTGGCTCAAAACGCAGCAAAAACCAACAAGTAAGAAAATCACATTTTAATCAACTAAAAAAAAAGAAAACAGCAGCAGTCCAAACTCGGAATAAATGAGAATCGAAAGGTGCCCAACACTCTTTGAACACTCTACGACGAAGTC